ACTATTATCATGAGTAGAGAAGTGTTATTACTCATAAAGCTGCACAGTTACAACATTTAACAGCATAACAGAAACAAACATTTATTTTCTTGTCAGAAGGACTTTCAAAACAAAGGTAATAATTTTCTAATCAAGCAAGGTTGCCCTGCAACTACATGTCTTTTAAGAACCCATAATGTAGTGACACTCGATGCCCCCAAAATAACAAAAAAGACAGGTTATGGTACATACAAATGGAATTTTAATTCTTTGACCATAAGCTAAACTGGTTATACCATGCATATTCATGCTCTGTCCCTGCAGATGTGGTCCAGTATGTTGCATTATTCACGTAACTTGATAGTTGTTGGGACCATCAGGTTTATCTAATATCGAGTCAGGCAGGTTTACTTGCATGGTTTAGTACTGGTTTTTTTGAGTTATCCATGAGTAATTTCTCCAAGATCTTCACATAAACGGAAACAGGATGCCACAATGCCAATTGTTTCTCCTATTTACACAAAGCTGTTAAATCTGAATGTAGCTTACAAGTGTTTCAAATGCAAGTCTGAAACTTAAAAAATTTCTGTAGGAAAGCTGTAAAAGAAACAAATTATAATATTCCAAACGAGCATTCAAAAGAGGTATAATTCACATAACATTAAATCAAAGTGTCAATCCAGTGTAATTTCTGTGGAATTCTTAGAGAACATTCTGAAATCCACGAAAACCTGCAATCATATTCCAGTTTTGTTGTTGCTGGAAACCTGAATGAAAGTGAAATATCACAGATTCAGCTTCCTCTGAAATTCAACAGCATGTTCACAATGAAAACACAAACACACTATGCTTTTCTGAATGCTGCTTATCAAAACAGAAATAAGTCCTGCAAGAAAAAAACCTGTAGTAGGTAACTGATGCTTAAGTTGAACAGCAGCATTCAAGATGGAACATAGCTTCTGTCAGAAGAAAAAAATAAAGAAGCAAAAAGAAGGAGACTTTGGAGTACTGAGTAAGCGTGCAGATGCTCAATCACAAAATATGCATAAGAGACAATGGATAACAGGATCCTTGCTATTATTATAGCAATACCACAGCGGTTGCAGAAGCTCACTATCACCAAAACTGTTACTGTTTGAATACTAAAAGTGAAGAGGACAAATATTGGTAAAAATAGATTAATCTCAGATAATTTGATTATGCAGAAAAAGAAAGTGCTGCAAATCAAGAACAGCTTGCATTCATCAGAAATAATCTCTTACAACTAGGAGGTTATAACAGCTACTGATCTCAGAGGAAGATTAGCTCTATCTATTAGGTTGCTTGGAAGCTAGTAAATTAGAGATTCAACCAAGACACATATCCACGGTAAGCAGGAGCTTGAGTTTGGAGGAACACTAGATGTTCATCATGACAAAAGGAAAGCTCATCATATATCCAGACAACCTGTTGATGGATAAACTTGCCATAGATAATATAGAACTAAAGATGAAGTCAGAAGCAGTGAAATCAAAAGCAGATGTCTCAGCAGCTTGAGTAGAGCATCCTTGAAGATGAGAGATGATACCAAAAGAACAAGGTGTGAATGAACTGTGGCTGCTTCACCCTCAATAAAAGCTCAATAAATGTATCTGGTTCCATCACATGCTTTCCTCCTACAGTATTTAGGAGTAAAAAGAAGCTTAGCTACCAGAGCAAAGCAACTAATAAATTCCTTTGGCCAAGATTCAGTTTATGCAGTTACATGCGACAGAAGTAATTCAAAGCATATTTTGCCACTATATACTGTAAAGTCATTGGCAGACAAAAATGCAACTTACTTGAACATTAAGTAGATCAGGACTTGTATGTTTTAGTGAACACCCAAAGAGAATAACAAAGCTCTTTAGTTTCAGAAGCTAGGATCAAGTTCAGAACAAAATGGGCTTTGATGTCAACACATAATATGTCATTATTCATACACTACTCTAGCTTGAGAAGGTATCAATAGATTCAAGCAGCAAAGAAACACTGCAAATGAGCAGCAAAGAAACACTGCATCACATAAGTGAAACTCCTGGTAAGCCTCTCTTCAAAGGAGTATAGCCTCCAAAAATCTGCAAGTCAATGCTGCAAAGCAGAGAACATTATAACAGAAGGGCCTTTGCCAGACTACAATACTAGGAGAAAAGACCAGACCTGCTGCCTAGAAGATGCAAGAAGAGAATACCACAGCTTCAATGTAGGAAGAAAAAGGAAGAGGTCTGGTCAGATCCTTGTTCGCTTACATACCAAAATAATCCCAAGCTGGACTGGGTTCAATTTTCTGGTCCACAATGATGTATCAGTGAGCCAAGGCAGTATAGGATACCTGCTCACTTTCAACTCCCCTGCAACAAAAATGTCTGCTGTCAGTTCATTTAAAAATATGTTAATTGTTGCGCAAAGCAGAGAGTTGAGCATTAGAAGAGTACTGGCATAGTTATTAAGCCTTACTTCCTCAGCATAAGATGGATCACTACACAAACAAGGCAACTTCATGTTGAATAACAATTTAAAAAACAATTCC